CACTCCCGGGCTCGGGCTGAATTGATGTGGAAACACGTATTGCATGTGAAATTTGGATCCTTTTTTCGGAGCTGCTCTGGATTTCAAACCCACCACAGGAGCCCCGGGAGGATCTGAATCAAAAATTTCTTTGCCCTGAAAATGATCTCACCTTGTCAATCAGGGCACCCTGCACCAACAGCTCCCAGCAGTGCCTCAACACCCAGAGCTGCTTCGGGACAGCCAGGAATCATAACTCACCCTCACGCATAATCTGCTCACCTAATTGTCATGGCATTACTAATATGTTAATGAGAGGCACAGAAGAAAACCAAACAGGTGGCAGCTGGAGTAAACAGAAAAGCTCTGAGACAACAGAAATACCACATTTCTTAGATCATCCCTGGGAGAAGACAATTCTTTTCTCTTTGCTTTCAGAGCCCTGTTCTAGGAACGAGCTGGCCCAAGGGACCAGGAAACTAGGACACCATGGCTATTCTGGATCAAAATCCTTTTCTTTTTCAAAGGCTGCCAGGGCGCCCTCTCGAGTGACCTCAAGCAGCTCAACTTGTCACCTGCTACACAGGTGACTACAAAGGCCATTTATGGATTTAATTAGGGCAGACAAAGAATAGACATCATCAATCCCTGAAGTACATGGAACATGCCAGGAGCATCCTGTGATCCCAGCTCTGGCTGTATAGAGAATGTGGGATTATTGATCTCTAAAAGTGGGAGCAGGTCCCCAACTTTAATAGACAGGAGCATCTGATGTTCACATGGCAGCTTTTATGTTGGACTGTCCTGAAGTACTTGAAAGGACACACAGCTGTAAACCTCTCCTTCCTGTCCTGCTCCACCTCTCCTCTCAATTAACAACTCCCATCCCTCTTGTCCAAAAGCAATAATGTCTTTTATGTGTTAGAAACCTCCCTTGCTTTCTTTCCCTCACTGAGGAACCTCATTTAGTCTCCATTTGGATTCATTTTTCCACAGAAAAAGCACACAGCAAGCAAATGAAAACATCCTCCATGCAGAGACCTCCTCTCAAGGTGTAGGCAAGGACCGGATTGCACAGGTGATGCTCAGTGGAAATCCAGGTACCACAGGAAAGAATAGAAAGGAAATCTTTGGAGCTGAGGTATCTGGGTGGATCCAGGTTCCACCCACCTGGGACTCTTGGCTTTCTAGTGACATTTGCCAAGGGCATCACCCTGTTGGGATTCCCCCAGCTGTGCCCTGCTAGGCAGCCTTTCTTCCTGGTCTTCAGTGGGGTGGGGGGAGGCGAAAAAAAAGGAGGGAAAAAATGAAAAAGGGGATCAGGAAACACTCACTTGGTCACGTCCTGAGCAATTCCCAAGATGCGAAGGAGCCCAGGCTTCCTGCTGTCCCCTCAAATATGTTATTTTCCACTCCCACCTTTCTCCCTCCTACTTATCTCCCTCCCCCCTTGCCTTCTGAGCCTGACTGAGTCAACCAGTGCAGATTAGATGCCAAGCAATGCAGTCTCTGCACAGAGATTCAACTCCCCCAGACAGGCTGGAGAGATAAAAGCAGTCTAGTCAAACACTGTCCAGAGACAGCCCGGGGAGAGCCGGGCTCCCAGTGCCTCTCATGGGGTGATGCCTTGAACTGGTGACACTCCAGCAACTGAATTTCGAGTCCTGGGGGCATAAACACTTCTTTCTGGTGCCTGGGCTTAAATACAAACGAAGTGGGTCGCATTTTCCAAAATACCCACGCTCTGGAGATAAGACTGACTGATGGAAACCCTTTTTTTCAGGCATCAAAGAGCTCAGGGGTGCAAAGAAACGGCCGCTACCAATCCGCAGCAGCGCTCTTCAGCCCACCCTTGTGCCGCTCTCCTGTCAATTCACACACCATTATTTTCCCCTCAAACCAATCACAGAACATCATGGCATTCGCTGGGGTAAACAGCTCCGTGGCAAAGTGCTTGTCCCATCTGTGTCCCTGCAGCTGACCCCGGCAGCAGAGGTACAGAAAAGCTTTTCCACGTTCATTTGGTCCATCTCTGGTTACACGATAAGAACTGCAGTTGACACAGCAATATAAACATCATTACTGACACGCACTGGGTACAGGTCAGGCCACAGTGTCCAGGGGATACTCCATAACAGGAGCTGTCATATTTATCTCTGGCTTCTTCAGAGCCAGTCTGAGTCGTCAGGCAGAGCACACAAAAGGACTATTCAGTGCAACCCACGAGCAGAAATAAAACAGATGCGCCGGGGAAGTTTGCAAAGGCCCCGGCACAGAAGGTTGGCAGATCTCCCCTCCGAAAAATCAAGGCCCGGCTCCTTGGCAGCATCAGGAGCCCTGCAGCAGCCCTGGTGCCAGGGGCACTGCTCATGCTGTTTGGATGAAGGACAGTCTGGAGGACAAAGCACTTGGCTTGGCAGTGAGCAGGGATGCAGGAACATCACAGATGCGGAACGAAACCAAAGCTCAGAGAACACCAGAGCCTTTAAACACTTCCACCAGGCTTGGCTGGTAAGGTCTATTTTGCTGTTTTTTTTTTTTTTCCCTACTGTATTGGCAAATTAATGAGCGGAATGGGAAAGCACATTGCAGCAAAAGCTCCCATCTGACCTGCTGGGAGTTTTAGTCTGTGTAAAACACCCGAGGGGTCAAGGTGCAAAGAATGTGTACAGAGGGGAGGTTTCAGAGACTGCAGTGGGGCACAGAGCAATTCTGAAGCTCCAGTAAAAGAGGATGCAGTAATTCAGGTCTAAGACCAGGGACTGATCTGAGCAAAGTCAGTTTTCTATCTGGAAAGGATAAGGGAAGAATTAAATGCTTTAAGTGAGGGAAAAAAACAAAACAAAACAACACCATCCCAGTCTGAAATGAACTTCCTACCTATTTTAAGACCAATCCAAAATGCTTTTTGTTCCTAGCTGGTATTTCAGGAATGAGTGCGACCAGAGGCACCTGGTCTGGTTTTCCAGACTGAAACGCTTTTGGAAGGGAATCAGATATGATTTGGACAAAACCAACGGAGGCCCAGACACAGAGGCTGCCCTGGGAGACTGTGTACCAGCTGTCTGCTCAGCCTCAAACCTCCTAATCGTGTTCTTGGAGGGGAAGCAAGGGGACCTGTTAGGGGTGGCTGAGCTCCCTGCTCGGGGCCGGGCGGTGGAGCCAGCGAGTGTCAGCCCAGCTCCATCGCCCTGGCTGCAAAACCCTGGCACCAGGACAACTGCAAACGAGCCTCTGAACAGACAGGCCAGAGGGATTATAAACAGCAGCACGAGCAGAGATGAAATGTTGGAACTCGGGAGAGCGGCGGGAGGAAGCTTGGCAGCGCCTGGATCGGCAAAGCACCTGCTGGCACGGGAAGGAGAGGCCTGGAGTTGGCAGGGAATGGGGTGCCACTGGCAGCCAGCAGCAATCAGCTCTGCCCCTCACCAGCCTGGCTCTGCTCAGGCACAGCAGCTCCACGGCCCTGCTCCAGCACTGGTGGCTCCAGCCCACAGACAGGCACTGCCTGCCCTGATGCAGGATGGACAGCACAGGGATCCAGGGCAGTGCAGGATGGATAAAAGAGGGGTCCAGGCTGGTGGAGGATGGATAGCACAGGGATCCAGGCTGGTGGCAATCAGAGCACTGCCTCAAAGCAAAATAAATCCTGGGAAATAAATGTACAAAACTACTCCGGTGCCCTCCTTCAGCTCTTTAAATCCTCGCCCGTGCTCGCAAACAACCCAGCAGCATTTAAGAGCTGGCAGACTGCAGTGCCTCTCCTCTGCAAATCATTTCTGAGAACCTGCTGAGCTCCTTTTCAGTGCACTCGGGCCATGCATTGTCTCAGAGAATCCTAAAGTGGTTTGGGTTGGTGGGAAACTTAAAGACCATCCAATTCCCACCCCCTGCCACGGGCAGGGACACCTTCCACCAGCCCAGGTTGCTCCAAGCCCCAGCCAACCTGGCCTTGGACACTTCCAGGGATGGGGCAGCCACAGCTTCTCTGGGCAACCTGTGCCAGGGCCTCACCACCCTCTAAATTCAGTCCATCCCATCAACTCTGAGTGGCACTAACTCAGGTACTTGTGTTAACACCAGAAGTAGGTGGGGTGAATCAGTCCAGGCTCACACACACACAGGATTCTGGTCTCTGCACAGGGCCTCTTGTTGCTGCCACTAAGTAGTAAACTGCCAAACATGGCTCATACCAATTCCACCTCTCACTAATATGTTTTGTCAGCTCATCATAATCTTGAAAGAAACCTCTAAGTGCTGGGAGTCATCCTGGGCTCTAATTAGGCTCAGTCAGATTTTGTGGTTTAGTCAAGTTAACCTGGCTCACGCTGCTGCAGCTTTAAACATATGAACTTGAGATCAGTTTTTCCACTCAGGAAAAGATAAGCTCTACAGTTTCCTCCCCTCAGATAAGCTTAAGAAGAAAAGAAAATGAAGTCAAATCCCTGTCACCCAGTATTCATGTGGTTCTGTGTCCCATCTCCACAACAGCTCCCAAACCAGGACACCCCACACAGAGACCCATCTGTGCTTTACTGTCATCCCAAGTCAGAAATCCAAGCACAGGATTCTTCAAGAGGTGAATCAGAGAGAAAAACAACCCCTGGATTTCTGAGCCATCACAAAACATTTTGAGAAGCTGCTGTTCGCTGCCACTATTACTGTTTGTGTTTTCAGAGATGTCACGGTGTTCTCAGCACTTTGCAAACAACGACCCAGAGCTCACAGGCTTTCCCAAGCAGATTATAAAATGCAAAAACCCAAAGGCCATCCAAAAAAGCAGAAAATTCCCAACTGACTCAGCCTGCCTGATTACAAAGCACTTTCTGAAACTCCTTTTCATCGCCCCATAAGGAAAAAAAATGGATCGAAATACCACTTTTTAAAATTATTTAAGCCTTACAACTGTGTCATTCCTTTCTGAGTTACAATTGTGCCGTTTTGATCACCTTTAAAAGCATCTGCAGGGTCTGATGCTCGTCACAGAGCTCTGACAGTGACTCCAGGGAGAAGGCACTGACCTGTTGCAGTGGTGAGATGTGTAACACACAACTTGGTAATCCCTCCTTTGCCCTGGCATTCCCTTCTCATCCAGCTGCCAAAAGGAGATCTGAAATGAAAATAATTGACATCCATTAGTTAGAGTTTGTTGAGTTGGTTTGGGTTTTTTTTTTTTCCTTGCTAAGCATCCAAACCCATGTCTTAGATAAACAAACAGAACAAAACATTTGGCCTGAGCCAAATCCTGGCTCCAAACAAATCTGGATAAGATACCCGTGGTTGGAATGTGTCATGTTGAATCCAGTGAAGTAAATTTACCTCAGAGTGTGTTCATTAGTATGATATTTGGACCCCAAAACCAGAGTGCTGACATGGATATGCCCTTAGGCTTGGACACATCTCACCTTTAGGGACCTGCTTGGGGAAGCTCGAGGTGAGGGACATCCCCAAGGCACTCACAAAATCACCATTGAGAGGCACCTCTGGGGACTTCATCTCTCCCCATCAGCTAAAATGCCTCAGGGCAAGTCAAACCAAATGCTCTAAACCAGCCCAGTGCCTCAGATCCAGCTTTTCCCTTGTGCTCCCTTATCCTCCTGGCTGCTCTTTGGCTCACACCCAAAAATGCTGCAATCCCAACCCAGCCTTCCCAAGCAGCACCATCGGCAAAGCCGTAAGGACACAGGGACATCTTCCATTCTCACACAGCACATCTGCCCTTCCCTCTCACTTCCCATCACTGCTCCAACTTGCAGGAGACACAAGGGATTTGTTGCAGGACTTGAGGGCAGGACACACTAACATCTAAAAGGGTGAGGGGCTGCAGAGCTCTGAATGAGATGCCTTGTCTTTGCAGTTTCCACCAAGCTCAAATTTTTCTGAGAAAGGATTAATTAATGAACACTGGACAACCCCCACAGCAATTCCTCAGCCCTGGAACAGAGGAGCCTGTCACTGTGGTGGCACAACACTCCAGGGCTGGGTCCCAAACATTATTCTGGCAGAAGATGCCCCCAGCAGGCCGGGATGTGAGATCCTGATGAGCTGGTTGTAACTCTGGTGGATGGAGATCCTCCAGGTCTGCTCTGGTGCCACTGAGAGGACAAGCTCCATCCTGGAGCGCAGATGGTTCCCCTTCTCACTTGGAGGGGCTGAATGACTTTTCAAACCTTTGATTCCTGACTGATGTATTCACTTCAGGAGACACAAAAGTACAAAATCTCAGCATGGAGTGACTCCCTCGCTTTCTTTCTTTTTTTTTTTTCTTTTTTCCTTTCCCACCCCCTCACCCCAGCCCTTGTCTTCTCTTTTCTTCTCTCCCTGGACAGTTTTATAATTTTGGCTTGTGGCCAGAATGTCTGTCCTGATTAGTCTGGGCTGGCTGTGAAACACCTGCAGCCCATTAGAGCAGGAGGTTGAAAAAAAAATCAGTTGTCATAGGTAAAGTAATGCCCATTTATTTCTTTGTTGTAAAACACTAAAAGGACAGTCGAGAGGGGAAGCAAAAAAAGACATATCTTTACCATCACACCTGCCATTGCCTGGGCTCAACTGCACACGCTGGGTCGTGGTTTTATCTGATAAGTGACTCCAATAAATTGTTGTCACTTCACACCAGGGAGGGTTCCAGGTTATTAAATGTGACGTGCACTTGCTGCATTTGAATAGTGCCTCGTGCACCTTCTTTTATTTATGTCTTTGTGACGAGCTAACTGGGCACGAGGAGGAAACTTCCCTCTGGGCAAGTTATAACTAGACTGCCTCCTGGCATAGCCCTCTAATGCCCCAGCTGGCACTGGCTGCACACAGTGCCAGATCCAGCAGAGCCTCCAGAATGGCAGGGCAAAGGGGCTGCAAGAGGGGACAGACACGAGCCCCACGGGCCACTGCCTCAGCCAGGAGAGCTGCACACCCAGAACACCGACCAGGCTACAGCAGAGATGCAGAAATGGCACTCAGGGTGTCACTGGAGCTCTTGGCTCTGGGGCTGTGCAAACCCTTTTGTGACAAGCCCAGAAACTGCCCTGGTCCAAGCACATGGGGACAGTGGCGAGACAGTGAGGGGAAATTCTTGCTCGCTCAACCCACAGAACTCCCCTGTAGCTAAAGACCAGCTAATTGTACTTCTGGGGATGAGCCCTGCTTGTGATTGCAACCTCCTCCTTCAGAAGATGTGTCTGTACACAGGAATGCCTGTTACTCACAAGAGGGGCTTGGTGCCTGCTCAGATGTCGACAGCAGAGAGATCAAAAGGTCCTTCAGATCCCCTCCTGTTCCCTTTGCCACGACCAAAACTCACCTGGGCTGAGGGAAAGGCCACACTCAGACCTCCTGGGGTGGGCACCTTTCTGGGAGGGCGTGCACGTCATAGGGGATGCCAGGGACAGGATCTGAGAGGACAACTGGAGGTTTGAATAATTCATCGCGCCTCACATCTTCAACTGTGACAGCAAAGTGGGGAGCTGAAAGGCAGCTCCAAGAGTGGTGCTGCTGAAAGCAGACTCACCCCCTAAGGACTGGATGATATTTCAATCCCAACAGCCTAGCCAGCCAAAATGCCACTGTGGGGATGTCAAGAAACCCGGAGCTCCTTCCAAAACTTCGCTGTGTTTTAATCAAACTTCCTTGTGTAGCTGCGAGGCAGCTGAGACATTTACACCCCAGCAAGCTGACTTTTTTTTTCAGTTCTGCATCAAGGGGAGAGCAGCCATATATTTAAAAAAAAAAAAAAAAAGGGGAAAAGAAAAAGTTGTGACCACAGGGGACTCTGTCAAATATTCCCACTGCTGTCCTGGAGCATGGAAAAGCAAGTCTGCTGTTGCACACAGGTCTGACTATTTGCATTTTTAATAATTCAAGAGTTTAATTAGTATCATGGCCTTAATCAGAGGCTGAAAATACAGCTGAAGTCATCAGAGCTTAATTAGCTTAAAAAAAAAAAAATCTGCGGTGAAAATGTCTCAACTTACGTGGGGCTCTGCCCTTAGTTTGATGCTTTGGGGTTCAGAGGAACTTTTATCTGTTGCTTCTGATTTCCTGTCCTTGTACACCTCAGAATAACACAAAATCCCCCAACAATCTCGAGACAAATCAGTTCACTTCCCTCTTTATCCCTATAACTGTAGGGATTGGTGCTGCTTCCCTTCTTGAGTGGTGCCAGGAGGAATTATCACCAATTTGGGCTGAGCTGATCCACAGCCCTGGCAGGAGCCACCCCTTCCCTCCCTGCACAGGTTCACAGCGTTGTACAGGACATCCTGGATGGACCTTTTCAAACAATATGTGGTTTAATGGTGGGACTCATCACCACCCAAGGCTGTGGGGACTAAATATATAAACAGGGTCGAAAATGGATGAGCAAAACTCATGGAAGATAGGTCAGTCCCAGCCAATTAAATATGGAAATCCGGATGCAACTCCCAGTTCAGGAAGTTAGTCAGTCTAATACCCTTCCACCTCTGATTTACTTGTAAAGGGGAAGCCAGAAAAATTCTCACTTTGCCAAAACTGTCCCTTGGCTCTGAGCATTAGTGAAAATCACAATAAATCCCTTTTTTTTTGGCAGGGGGAGGGGGTACATTTTCTTTCAGTAATGATATTACAGCGTGTGATTTATTTCCCTCTGCAGCTCCTGAACCTCTGTGTAACCTCCCATCTCCCTGTCCCCTTAGGAATAGCAGAAATAAATTAGTGAAACCTACTGGAAGGTGATAGCAATCACAGATACCACTAAATTCCATTTAGCATGGAATTAGGAATCCAATCACTCATGTACATAGGAAAAGGTCTGACCGAAAAACCATTCTGCCTTTGGGAGCACCAGGGCCAGAGGAAGATGCTGGAAACTCAAGCTGGAAAAATGTAAGTTGGTTTGTCCACAAGGAAAGTTTCCTGTAAGGCCAGGGCAGTTACTGTTTGATTTATTCCCTGACACATGCCTGTGCACAGCCTGGGGGTGTTCATATAAATATATACATATAAAATACATACAGAACATTTCATACTGAGGGCTTAGGCATCCTAAAGGGGATGAGGATCCTGCTGAACTCCTGACCCGTGGAGCAGCTCGTGGCACTGCTTATCCACTCTCTGCTGCAGGAATTTCCACCCTCTGCCTGGTTCTGGAGGTGTTCAGGGGGTTTGCAGGAGAGCAGAGGACAAGATGACAAATGAGCTAACACACAGCAAAGGAATGTAAGTGAGTCTCAGCTATTTTTAATTAAGAAGCGATGACAGCTGACTAAATTCCCTGACACTGCAGTTAAAGGCTCCCTGACCCAGACATTATTGGACACACTCCGAAGACCAATATATATTGGTCCCGACGGTGCTGCTATTATTGTCCCCGCCGTCTGGGCAGATGCAGGACTCACAGAGGTCTGTGCCTGTTATCAGCATGCAAACACCGAGGTAAACATGTGGATGCTCACGAGCAGGGGGAGGCAGCAGGTGAGAGGAGGACAGAGAAGGTCGTTTGCAAGGGAAGCGCTGCAACGAGCCAGGGTTGGGCTCCAGGAAACGTTCAAAAGGCTTGGACAAATTTAACTGCCGTTTTCATTTTTGGTGGGTTAAGGCAGGGATTGATTGAGCAGGAGAGAGGCAGGGAGACAGAAGGAACATTTCCTGCTGGAAGGCAGATAAGAGGCAAAGCACGAGGGCGCCTTGGACTGGCTTTTCTCAGCCCATGGGTCGCAGGGAGAGCCCAACTCAGAAAGCTTTTCTCCCAGACCAGAGAGCCCAGCAAAGTGGTTTTAAAGGGTAGGGATTCATCTGGCAGAGATGAGAACACAGCCAAGGTGCCCAGCTCTCACTGCCACAACAGAGTGGCAAGAAACTCTCCGTTTGAACCTCAGACAGCCTTGGAAAGACGTCGAGAGGAAAATACCAACCACAAAAAGACAACACAAAAACCTCACTTTTGTTCTCAGGGCTTGCACAGCATCGAATCAAACAGCTGATCCCTTTACCTTGAGCTCACTAGTTGGTTTTAGTTAGGACAGATGAAGAGAAGGTTCCCTTCTACCCTTTCCAAAGGATCGTGGAGGGGAGGGATAAACCGGCACACGCGGCAAAGTCACACAGATCACGTACAAGCTTGGCACGGGCGAGACAAATACATTAAGGGACATCATCAGGAACTTTCCAGCCTGGTTGCAGGGTGGGAGGGGGCAGAGCTGCTCCCTGCTGTTGCTAAGACAGTCCCCCCACCCGTGCTCTCTCCCAGCCCAATCCACAGCCTTTCTCCTCCCATTGGCTCAACAGCCGCATCGAACCATCACGACGGGTTTTCCTCCTCCTCCTCCTGGCCCTGCTGCCTCCTGCCTATGGCCTATTACCAGGGGAGAGCAAAGCAGACACGTAATCAATAGTTGGAGGGAAGGAGCAGGGCTGTGTGGTGCTGCATTTGCATTCAGTCCCTGGCTGCCTCTGTCTCTGCATTCGGAGCGGCGGGGAAGAGCCGTGCCCGTGGAGGTGAGGATGGATGGCAGGCTGGTAACACAGCACTGCAGGAGCACGACCCAAGGACCAGCAGCATCCTGCCTGAGCTGTCAGGTGCCTGGAGAAATGTTCTTTCAAGCAGCCTGCTTGAACTGGTGTCCCCAGCTCGGTGCTCAGTAAGGCACCTCTGAAAATAAGAGGTTCCACAGCACGTACAGCACCATAAGTGAGGCCCCTCTAAAGGGTTGCTTGGTCTGAAGGCACCTGGAACCTTCTAGGGCAGGCAGAGAGTAGAGAAACACTCCATAAAGCCAGAGAAGGTGGCCCTGGCTTGAACCAGGATGGCTGGTGACAGTCAGTTGCCACAACAGTGGTCACAGAGATTTGGGAACAGTGGTTCCTTCATCTGGTGAAACCCTGGTAGTGGGCAGTGAACACAGCAGTGGGACAGCTCATCACCCCTACCACAGACCAGCTCAGGCTTTGGGGCCAGACACAGAGAAGAGACAGACGAGCTGGAACACATTTCCAGCAAAACAGGCGCTGTGCATCAGTAGAACAACCAACTCAAACCAACCAAATATTGCCACTGGCTTCCAAACAAACTGTGAACAAGAACTTACTCATCGGTGACGGGCACCTCGGGCACCGGGGCACCCAGGGAGGTGTGAGTAACCACAGACTGGCCCCAGGGCTTAAAGCTCTGCAGTTTGACTTGCCCAAGCCCAGCAGAGCTGATGAAACCTCCCCAGGCAGGCTGTGAAAACAGCAGCCCCTGGGCTATTTTCTTCCACCACACAGGTGACTCAGCATCCGGAGCACGGAAGAAGAGCTGGTGTTTCCTTTTCTGTCCAGGACAGATGGTGATTGGCAGCACAAGGAGCTCAGTCCAGTTTGCAGCCTGGTCCTAAAAGCCATGTGGACAGGCTACAGGAGGTCAGTGAACCCAGCAAAGCCATCCACTGCACTGGATGGATGCTGTCCCCCAAACTCTACATCTTCCCACCCTGCCCTCTGTCCTTCACATTGCACAGAGGTTCAGTTAGAAAGAGTTATAACCTAAACTGTTGTAAAATAATACAAATCATTAGGCAACACAGGCAAAATTGTTTTATGGGAATTTCCAATTCCCACCCCTAATCTATTTATTTATTTCAGGGGTGAAGGGGTGGTCGGACACAAAACACTGGGTCAGTTATAAAAAAATCTGTAAGTGTCTGACCTGGATAAATTGTTTTTTATGGAATCCACGGGGATGGTTTCTTTAATACAAGATGGAACTTCAAGTTAAAAGGAGGGGAAGAGAAGAAAAGAGCGCTCACAAAAATCAGGTTCAAATCCCTGCTTGGCCTCTCCTGGCAAAGGACTTTGAATTAGGGCTGCAGTTACTTAAATGGCTTCAAATATTTTGGGAGCTCTCTCCCCAGTTCACATGACCTAAGTTTCATCCTGAGGCAGAAGAGCAAGAATGTTCTGAGCTCTCAGAAACGTTCATGGCTTCGGACAAATACATCAGACCCAGTTTGGAAAACAAACCTGTTCTCTTCTTGATCTTATGTAGTGGTCTAGATGTCTGTGTTTTGATTCCTCCCAATTGTGCTCTCAAACTGGTACAGAGCTCCATGAAAGAAAATTAATGGACTGGAAGGAAACCTACACTTATCTTTATTTCTTTTTTTCTATCTCTAACCATGTGAATTTTTCCCTGTTACCTTTAAAAAAAAAAAAAAAAGCATGAAATTGTGCATCAACCAAGATGATAAAAACAAACTCAAACAGGAACTTCTACCATGGGTTAAACCTGCTTCAACCACTCAAGAAGACAGAACCTATGAATGAAGCCTTTTGGTCAATAAAAGCCTTTTAACTAAAAGGAAAGCTCTTTCAGATTTATTCAAGAAGCAACCAACAGTGGGAAAGACTCAAGCTCTGAAATATCCAACCCTGACATCAAACTTTTCTCCTTCCTGTTAGTTCCTACCCCACGAGATTTACCTGGACCTGCCAGATTTGCTGCAGTTGGAATAAATTAATAAATAAATTAATAAAGCCAAACCACAGGAACACATCTCGTATTTCTCTGATGCCAAAGGATTGTCCTAGGCCATAAAATAAGCAGCAAAAGACAACCAAACCACACATATATCCATATATGAACAAATATCAAATACATGTGGATAAATATATATCTCTCTAAGTCATTAAAATACCTTTGGTACCAAAGCCTCTCACAGATGCTGACCCTTAAAGCGAAACAAGGAGAAAAGAATGAGCAAACTAACAAGTTTCTGGCCTCATTTGTTTAAAAATGACAGAGCAACAAACCCAGTAATTTTATTTATTTATTACAAACAGCTTTTTATATCTCCTGACCCAAAATAAGCCCCGGCCCAGCTGTGGTGCCATGTTAAACAGTAATTACTATATATAAGGCTGACCAAATGGGAATATTTGTGGGCCAGCAGCGTGGAATTATTTTGGGACTTACACAAACTTTCTCTGGGAGTGGTGAGATGAGCTGTGGGCAACGTGACCTAAGAAACAAGTGGGCACAAGAGGGGTTTTTCCTTCTTGTTCTGAGCCTCTATTAAAAGCCACCCAGGTGACACTAAATGACTTTCCCAAATTTTGGCTCAAGGGAAAAGGAAAGAAAAATAAATAAATAAAATGAAGAAGTAGAAGTGAGATTTGTTTACTGCTCTCTGAAAGAGGTTTCACTATGGGACATGTTTTGAGATGGACTACCTGGAATGTCTGCTAAACCACACCCAAACATATGGCAGAACATGACCAACACCCTTGGAATATTTCATTGTGCTGAGAGGAAACAAAAAATAATTTAAAAAAAAAAAAAAATCAAGACTCATAGAATCAGAGAATCCCAGAATGGTTTGGGTTGGTAGGGACCTTAAAGAGCATTTTGTTTAAACCCTCCTGCCCTGGGCAGGGACACCTTTCACTGGACCAGGTTGCTCAGAGCTCCATCCAACCCATCTCCAGCTCTTCCCCACCATTCAGTTGCTCCACCACGAGCTGCTGTGCAACATCTACCACTAAAATATCATCAGGCATTTTCCAGGCAAGGACTGGCACAGGCACCTCTCTCCCAACCCAGCCCAAACACAAAGCCAAACCCTTCCCGGGGAGTGGCCTCGCGTCAAGCTGGACCTTTCTGCTGTTGGACATCAATCCACACTGCAGGGGAATTTTCCATCCTGTTCACGCTCAACTCCTGATTTTTTGGCAATATTTGGGCTCACTGGGTCTGTGCTGCTGAGACCCCATCCCTCCAAGCTCCCTCATCCCCTCGAACATCCAGGAGCACAAGCCCTGCACGCCCTGGGGCACGTCCTGCCTCGTGGGAGGGGTGGGGAATTCTGTGGGGAATCCTGGAAGAAGAGGCTCTCAGCGCTTTCAGAGTGGCAATGCTCAGTTCAAGAAACCTGCAAGAATTAGTGGCACTTTTCAGCTCACCAAAACATCCCCTCCTCCTTCTGTCACAGTAAAACGGAGCGAAAAAGGAAAAGTGGTTTAGCGAGTAGGAACTCAGCAATTCAAAATAGAACCAGAGAGGATTAAAGCAAATACCCAGACTGTTCTAACCTGTGTTTACTGCCCAAATACTGTACCAATTCCTGTTGTTTTCGGGGTGGGGGGGTTCTTCCTGTGTTGTAACTTCTTCTCTCTGGGATTAAACTTTGCCCATGGAACACCTGACTCATCTGGCTGCAGGTTCCTGGGTATGTGCTGCAGGTTGTGCAGATGCTGCTCAGTGACAGCCCATCCTCCAGTTTCTGAGCCCCAGGCAGCACATTGCACATGGGTTTTTGCTGGAGGGGTAGGGGGAAAAAAGAAATGACAGCATCTGCCTAACACTAAATTTACATCCTTAATTAAGGGCTTCAAAAATCAGGTCAGTTTTTTGAGCAGGATGGTGGGTGGAAAATAAAAATTAAAAAAAAAAAAATATATAAGCCCCAGAGTTTTTAATGATCTTAGTGAAACTAATTTTCTGGTTAATGTACGTTTTTGCATCCAGGAATTTTGTAGAATCACAGAATGATTTGGGTTGGGGGCGGTCCTTAAAGATCATCCAGTTCCAACCACCCAATTCCAAGTTAAAAAGTCACTGTAACCACGTAACAGCAATGGATTTATGCAATATATCACACAGTCTTACAGTACTTTTGTATAAATATTGTACAAACACATCCACGGGTTAAAAAGTTTCTGAGCTCTTAATTATCAGTTGGATTCACAACTGGCAAGACTCTTCTAACAGAAAGGAACAAAAAAAGCTCATCCCTCCAGCTGACTGGAGGGAACATCTCACCTCTCCACAGCTCCTCCTTAGGCTGTTTGCCAGTGGGAAGGAGCACCTGGGATGGGGATGGCAGCTTTTGTTGTGCAGTTCACTGGAGGGATTTCACCAGAGATCCTGGAAAAAAAGGGAAATTCACAGTGGGATTAGATGTGATCTGCACATTTTACTGAGTCACTGAGTGCTGGAGAGCCCAGCTCTCTGAAAGCCTCAGCTTGAGTATCCTCCTTAATCCCTTCCTCTTTGGATATATATGAACTTCCTCTGAACACAACCAAGGTAACACAACACAGAAATTACAGGATAATTAAAGGGGACCAGGGAAAACAAACATACATACCCTTTGTTCCACTGGGCTGCTTTAAAACACAATGCTGGGTTTTACTCCTTCTCTCTCAATCTGTCACCGACACTCGGCTACAGGGGAGAAAATGAATTTAAATTAAACTCAAACATTCTGTCTAGTTCATTGCTAACACCTTCTAAACAGTGCTGAACTCTTACATATTTGTGCCATAACCCCAGGCTGTGTGGGCAATAAAGCCACAACAACTGTCAGCAGGTACAGACACCTGGGTTACACTCTGAATTAAAATATAAGTGATAAAAACAACAGCCAAAAAAAAAAAAATCTCCAAGTTCTGCAAGAGTTCCTTGACTTCCCAAGCCCAAAATGTTCCTTGGAGCCCTTAAATCTGAGGGATGTGTGTGTGTGTGTGACAGATGGCACCACCTCTGTACAAATATTGTGCTGTGCAAATATTCATCAGTTAATTCCAGAGACAACTGTGTCAGGTGAGATCATTAACACCACCCCTAATTTCCCTGATAAGTAGGCTGAGACAGGAGGGTGGAGAGGATTGTCTAAACTGAATCAGTAAGTAACAATGAGAACCTCCAAGGCATCCTCCCATCTCAGAGTCCATGTAGGGCTTTCTGTTGGTTGTTTTGGGGTTTTTTTAATAATTAAAAAAAAAATGGAATCTTTGGCACAGTTTGACCCAGCGCCAGCTGAAGTTTGGAGACATGAAAAAGCAAACAAACAATGGATTTCAGCTCACACCATAACTAATGAAGCATTTATGCTACACCAAAATGTGGCTTAGCTTAAGTATCCATTTTTAACTATCAGCTGAAGTGAAAACAATAATTCATGCAAATCAATGTTCCCTAAACAATAATTTTCCTCTGGAACATTTCTTCTTTTTTAACATAAACTCTTATCTAACATAACCCATTTAAAGGATTATATCTGCAGAGTTCAGCAATTAGCTCTGTAAATTGTTTTCCTTGAGTGTATGGAAGGTTCCATTACACAGTGAAATATAAAGTGTATGCTATAGTCAATGAAAACCTCTCTTGGAACGATGATTATCTTTCAAAAAGCCTGGGATAAGGGCCAGATTACCCCAGTGAACTCAAGCCAGCTCTTATAGAGTTCTACTTGCACATCCAAAGTCCCCTGTTGTTCCGTGCAAGTATCCACTTCCAGTCCATCTTCAGGGCTTTTCAAGTGTAATTGTTGGTATGTAATACCCCCAGAGCGTGTTTTCCTAGAACACAGCCATAAAAACCCCAATCTGAGGGAGAAACAACCCAGCAAATAAGCACAGAAAGAGGGAAGGGACGTGCAATAAAACACCCAGATGAAGGTTGGGAGATGGCACTGAGTGCACTTCAGGTGCTGCTGGGAGTGAGGATGAGGATGGAGAGGCTTCACCTCGTCCGTGCTAATTCAGGAAACACTCATGAGAGTCACAGGGGTTTGTAGGAAAACAGCATTTCATGGAGAGCGTGTCAAAGATGCCTGGAAGTCACCTAAGTCATCCTTCTACTCCAGACATGGCCAACCTCAAAATGGAATCTGCTGGAGGCCACGGGAGCTCTGAAAATCCTCAGGAATGGAGATCCCACAGCCTGGCCAAGCACCTGGTCCAGGGCTGCACCACTCCCCCAGTTTGGGGGTTCTCCTCTAATCACAATTTCCTTTGCTGCAGTGACAGAAGACTTTTTTTCCCAGTTGTTTGAGGCAGCTTCATTCAGCTCTTCCTCTCAGTCAGGTGGTTCAGAGGAGATGCCCACCACGACACGCTCTTTGTGAGCCTTCCCACCTTGATCCCAACCCTGACTGCTGCTCCTTGGTACACTAAACTGTGGCTTAGCTTAAGAATCCATTTTTAACTATCAGCTGAAGTGAAAACATTCAGTCATGCAAATCAGTGTTCCCTAAACAATAGTTTTCCTCTGAAACATTTCTCCTCTTTTACCATCAACTCCTTGGCACAAAACACAACCCCCTCTGGTGTTCATGGACATCTCTGTATGAGAGCCACATCCATCCACCCATCCATTGCAGCACTCCAAGTGAACCCTTCCACCACTCCTGCCATCCCAGCAAACCTTGATTAAAGCCCTTAGAACTAAAACACTGATCAAATCAAAGTGCTGTTCCACACCCACAGAGGGCAAACTGCCCAGCACCGAGCGTGAGCGACACAGCTGTGAAGAGAACACAGGAACCCAAACTCAACATCTCACGTTACCTTTGAGAATAAAGCTCCTTTCATGATGCCCCAGAGGGCAAAATGAGAAGGAAAGTTCCTAGTGGGGAGCAGCCACACGGGGTCAGACGCTCAGCAGCTCAGATTGGGTGACCCCACTGCTTTCAGCACAGCCATGCCTGTTTACCACTTGACAACGTGACCTATATAATGAAAACTTGAAGCAGCTAAGGAATATAACCTTAATTTATTCCAAACCCATTCCATTTAACGCTGTCACTTCTCTTTTCCATGCCAACATGCTCAGGAGACCGACACATTTCGATGCTCTCAGCTGGGAATCGTGTTCTCGCAACGCTCGTGGATGATGCACACACTGTCTCTATTTGTGTCCCCCCTTTCAGATGGCATGGTGCCCACAAAACAAGCTGATTAGCACTTGCCCTGGGCTATCAAGGCAAGGCAATGGTATGTTTAGATCAGCAAACTGCATAACAATATAAATGTCATCTATTCTACAAGAAGCCTTGGCAGTACTTGCATCTTGTTCTTCGTTGCATGGGATGTGCCAAAAAGAAACACGAAGACTCGCAGAAGAAAGACAGGCATGGGATTTGCCACCCCTCCTGGTTGCCAAAACACGCTGTACAGCAGTGGGTGCCTCGTTAGAATCCCCAAGGGCCATCTACCGGGTGTCAGATTGGACGTGAACACCGCTGGGACAGATATAAATATATATCTATATCTCCTTTTTTGTTCAGCCAGGCTCATGAGCAGAAATGAACCACAAACAGTGTGTCTGGCACAGCTCAAGACATGATCTGTACACTTGCCCAGAAAAGATGGCATCCAGCCTAAAGAGAATAGCCCTGGGTGGTCACTGGCTGGTTGTGCAACAACATCTCTGCTGACAGGGCAGGCTGCAGCAATCCCCAGCAGCTACAGTGGATAATGGGCTCAGGACAGGGAGTTTAGGACACTGGAGCTGGAGTGCAAGCCAGGCCTCTAATGGCCTGGCACTCATTAGCATCTGGTTCTTCCTGGGGACCTCTAGGACATGAAGTGATGGTCCCATGCCAATCCCTGGCGAGCAAATGTCAGCACCATTCTCACAGCGAGCATCCATCTCCTGGGCTTGGTGAGGGAGCCAAGGGCTGAAGGGAGGAAAGGCTGATCTATGGCTCATTGTCAGCCAGGGGACTTCCCAGGACAGGGCTGGGGACAACTAGCAGGGCTCAGAATTGTTGCCTGTACAAGCCTTGCTTAAATCTTCAGCAGATGGGATGGGATTCAGGAAGCACAGAATCACAGGATGGTTTGGGTTGGAAGGGACCTTAAATGATATTCCTGGAACGGAGAAGCTGCTGGTCCAAAGGGGCCAAGTTCTCAGCTGGGATGGCAAAGGCTCCAGTCCAAGTCAGGGTCAGAAAACAGATCTGAGCCTAAATGTGGCATTTTCACAGAATCCAGAGTGGTTTGGGTTGGAATGGATCTTAAAGCCCATCCAGTTCCACTCCCTGCCATGGGCAGGGACACCTTCCACTATCCCAGGTTGCTCAGAGCTCCACCCAGCCTGGCCTTGGACACTTCCAGGGATGGGTCAGAGCTACAGAGCAAGAAAGATGCAGCAAAAGAAAGATAAAACTGTCAGACAAAGGTAGGAGAGAGAACTCTGCAAGTAAACAGAGAAAGCCCATAGCACAATGTGCTCCGTGGAGTAACAAACCCACACCAGCAGAAACAGAAACCGCCTTGAAAGTTCTCTCACACTGTGGCAAATTCCAGGAACACTTACTTAACTCTTCCTTAGTCATGCCCTTCTGCTGTGGCACGTTCCTCATAAATTCACATTTACAATAACTTATGTTAACAGCATCTTTTATTTCTGAAAATAAAAATGGGCCTGAAGAGCTTTTGTTTGGTTTGCAGTACCCAGATGCATTAAACTTCTATTGCATAAGAGGATTTGTGCTTTACATTAAAGTTTTCAGGGGAGAGATATTTAAAAGATTATGAAATATGCTTGTGGGTTAAAAAAAAAAAAAAGAGGAAAGAAGAATGTTGGAACATATCCATCAATATTTCAGTATAAATTGTTGAAGCACCAGAATTACACGGTGCAATTATCTTGCACAATGTATAGCTCCTAGCACTGATCTTTACATTTAACAGGAAAAGTGGTTTAATACATTGCAAATGAATGTTCATTAAGTTGTTGGGAAAAGCTCTGTCATAATTGAATAATGAAACTGCTGCACCTTTTGCATCTGCTTTAAAAGTCTTTGCTCCTCTGACTGTATCAGGCATAAAGTGGCCTTTTATGGGATGTTCTTGCTGACATCCATCTTTATACAACATCAAATTCCTTCTGACTCTTGCCCACAGATCCCACTTGGGCTCTCCCAGTGCCACACTGAACATGAAATCTTTGACAAAGCCACTGGGACTTTGGATGTTTTTGGGAATATCCAATTCAGATTATTCCATGGTGCTCCAGGTGAGCTGCACAACTGGAGTCAGGCTCCAAGAAAGCATGGTGGAAAAAGACTTGGATTTCTCTCAAGGGTTTTGATTATTTTAAGAAACAGCAATCAGAGACAATTCTGTTAATAAGTCACAGAGTCATTTTTTTAACTGGTGGGTTTTTTTTCCCCTTTGCCTATCCATGGACCTACCAAAGGGTTTGATGAATCGGTGTGGGGTGTGATCACACCCCATGTCAATGCCAGGCCCATTTATGGCCTGTATATTTAAGATGACAAACAGGGCAGGTTTTGCAATGGTAATGTGGGACACAAGAAGGGTCCAGACAAAGAATCCCATTGACGTCGCCGTGTTTGGGATCAGGCCCACTGTGAATCTGAAGGGGGCAATAAGAAGCAGGATGGCTATTCCCTTGCAGGGAATATGCAAAGTTCTCTGCTCACATACAAAGGGAACAGTTTTGCACTCATGTAGATCGTGGTCCATGGATAATCAGCCCACTATTCACTCCCCCAGCTCTGCGGAAGCGCAATCAGGAAAGCATTATGAGGAAAAACCTGCCCTGCAGGGATAGACTTGCTTTAATAATGTTTATGACTTGTCCATATTGTATTTATGTCTGGAAGTTGATTTCTTGGGTTTTCCCACCCTTCCCCCCGCTCTCAGTCCCCAAAGACAGTTTGATGCTCCACCAGGAGAAATGGGGGAAGCACCAGTGACTGATGGACAGGACTCTCCAAATCCCAGCCAGAAACAACACTTGATTTTTAATTTTTTTTTTTGTAACTGACACACAGGTTAAAACCTTACCTTTTCCTGATCCAAAACCAAGCCCATGCTTCACAAATTCACAGGTTTGGCCAGAAAGTGCAACACTTCCTCTGGTCAGCCGCTGCCCTCCTGTTTTGGAAACAGCACAAACTGACGCCCCCAAACAGCAACAACAGAAGAAAATGATTGAAGGTTTCTCTCAGTATCTTGCCAGGCTCACAATTTTCACTGAGCTTTACAAAATGTGTCATCAATACTGGTTCTTTTAAAGCCATCTCAATCTCAGTCACCCAAAGCCATCAGAGGAAAAACAAAATCCCAGAGAGGGACCGACCTGCAGAGTGATTGCAGAGGGGGACAGGCTGGGAGAAGAGCCAGGCAGAGACTTTGTGCTCCCAGACAGGTTCTGCAGCAGAAAATCTGCTGGGTTTGCTCTCCCTGGGTGATTCCACTTGGATTTCACCACTTGCTTCCGAAAACCTGCCCCAAACTTCCCGATCTTCTGATGCTTTCAAGAGTCACCAAAGGTTGAAGCTTGATTTGGTTCCTCTGGCAGGTAAATTTGGTGGGATTTTGAAGGCATGCACTGAAATTGAAACTCCATGGAGGGAGAGACAGAGGAATTCACAAGTTATAGGAATTTGGGGGTGTTTTGGTGCATTTCACTGTTGCCCAGCTGCACTGACACTGCTGTAAGCTCTGAAAATCCCTGATTTGGGGGTGCCTGCTTGCTTGGATCCAAAGCTGGCTGTGCATCCAGGGATGGATCAAATCATCCCCCACAAAACCTTCCAGACTGGCCAAGGGGCTCCTGCCACACCTGAGCTTGCAAACAACTCCCTGCTGAAAACAGAGCCCAGCCCATTTTAGCACAAACCCCCCAAAACCAGGCAAGGCCATTTACATCACTTTGGGATGGAGGGTGTTTGGGCTGCTCTGTGGATCCTTCCAAGCCCTGGCCCAGGCGTTGGTTGGACGTAAACCCTGCAGAGAGCAGACAAATCTGAGCCTCTGAACTGCACTGAGCACAGAGAGCTCACTGCCAAAATGAGAAATAGGGATTTTTTTTTTTTCCCCGTGGCTTTGAGGCATTCCCTGATTTCTGCAAGGAGGTGGAGCAGTGGAGCCCCTTCCAGTGGCCCTGCTGACCTGTTTTTGGCAGCCTGTGCATGCAGGCAAGGGCAGGTGGAGGTGAACATCTGGGGCTCCTGTGCCTCACAGCTGGGCTTGAACCTTTGTTCTGTTTTCCAGCACTAAGGTTCTTCTAAAAGACATAAAATAAACAAGTCAGTCACGGTTTCACTCTCCCCTGCACCACCCAGCACCCATATTTGCCTACAAGGAAGCCCCCAGAAAGCCACAGGGTTTCCTTTTTATTTACCCCTTTTTATCTTTGCTTATTTTCTCTGGTGAAAAGTAACCCGAGCTTGGCTTAGCATAAACCCAGCCAGAAACAAACAAAAAACCCTCTTGAATTCCTCTTCATTATAAATGGATTGCCAATGTGTTAAATAAATCAGTGAAAATGGAAATCCAAAAATAAATAGCCATCCTGCTGTTGCCATGACAACTCAAATTTTTTTACCTGGACAGAGATTTTATGTTTCACAGTTAGTAAGCACTGAAAAGGAGGGTCACTTTTTTTTTTCCCCCCTAAATCCTTAAACATTTCACCACCTACCCCCAACATAAAAAAAAAAAAAGGATTATTTTTGGTTACTTTTTAGCAAATGAGGGGAAGATCAAAGAGAGGAGCTATTTTTCATTCCAGACAGGAGAGAAAGGAGACACGTACCATTTACAACAACAGAGCTTATAACATCCACCCAGCCCAGAAAGCACAGAGAGCACAAAATATTCCAGTGGCATTTCAAGGCTTTCATGTGGCCCTCCTATGCAAAAGGCAGGGCATGTATAGAATAAGATTAACATGTCTTAAAACCGTATTTTGGCTCATATATTAAGGCAGTTTTACTGTGGTAAAACAAAGAATGTCAGCAGAAAGTAAATATTTTGCAACTTGTGCCGCTGTTGATGTCAGTGAAATGGGTGCCTAAACGACCCAGAAGCCCAGATTGCAGAATTAATACATTGCCTAGGCCTTAAAATGGTAGAATTCAACCCAATTCCCTCAAAATCCGTGGGGGAAGGCTCAGAACAGGTTGCAGGGGAATGAACTCCTGGTTTCTATTTACCATCCTCATTCTCTGGGGTGGTAAATTGAGGGGAATTCAGCAGAGAGGCAAAAGCCACTAAGGGGATCCCAAGTGTCACCTGGGAACCCCTCCAGCAGCCCAGAAAAAGTCACATAAAGGTCTTTTTATTCCATTTTACCTGCTTTAAATAGTCTACTTGGTACCTCCTTGTCTGGAGGCTGGGAGGTGGATGATTCAAAGATCAGAGAACACCTTCATCTCTTGGCTGGTAGACATTTGCAAGAAGCCTTTCCTTCACCCCAAGAGGTATCAAAAATTGTAATAAAAAAAAGGAAAAATAAAAATAAAAAAATTTTTAAAAGCGCCAAAATACATAAAAAGTTCAGAAATTCAAAAGGTAGTTTAAAAAAAAAAAAAAAGAAAAACAAGCAAAAAAAAAGAGCATCACTCCAGAACGTTTCCATTGGCCAATTTCTTTGTTAAACGTTTACAGAAATAAGATGAATTTTCCAAACAACGTGGGCTTGAGCAAAATATTGTCTTCAGTTTGAAACTTTGTAGCATGTTTCAAAAAAAAATAAAAACCAAACCAAAAAACAAAACAACCACACTGAAACAGAGCCCCCCTCCAAAAAAAAAAACCAAAACAAAACAAAAAATCCCTAATTAACAAAAACAAAAAAAAAACCACACAAAAACCCCAAAACAAAACAAAACAAAACAAAACACAAACAAAAAAAACACAACAAAATAACCCTAAAAAAACCACCCTACCCCCAACATTCCGAATTGGGGGTGGGAAGGAAGCAGCACAAAACTCAAACTGCTCGCAGAGAAAAATCTCCTCAAATCAACCTTTTCCACAAAAAAATACCTTCTGTCACAAAATGTCTTGACCTGCATTAAATTGAATTCATCAACCTCAGTCGAAATCCAGCCTAATGGTAATAAAATGCAAAATGCACCCCAAATCAGACACTGTGAAGTGATAAATTCCAATTTATCACATCCCATAGATCTGCTCAGGTTAAAGAGCTTTTTTCAATTAGGTGTTTGCTCAGTTTTGTTACTAAATGCATGTTCCTACCAGCCCAAATCACTCTCGTTTTTATGGCTATGTATCCACACACACACACAGAGGGATTGGGAAAGCTCTAAACAAATCTGGGTGTTTGCCTCCTGCCTTGCCCCCAAAAAAAGCAAAGCAGACTGTTCAAGCAGCAGCCGCTGAAAGCAAGCATTCAATTCTCCTCAGAGGCTCGTTTTCCTCTAAATGGGCCTCTCAGACTCGGTGACAACTCTTAGCTGCCTGAGAAAAAAAAAAAAAAAAAAAAGGAAAAAAAAAAAAAAAGGGGGGAAAAAAAAAAAAAAAAAAAAAAAAGAACCTATTTTCCAGTGCAAAGTAATCCCTGCTCCATTGCCATGGCACCAGACATCCGTCTCTTTCTTTCATTGACCAGACGAGGTCCCTCCTCAGCCTCCAGCTTCTTTTTTTTTCTTAAAAAAAAAAAAAAAAAGCTTTTTTTTTTTTGTTGTTCATGCATGTGTGTGTGTGTGTGTGTGCCTGAATTTGTTTCCTTGGGAGGAAAAGGAGTCATTAAAGTATTAGTTTGGGTTGGTTGATTCTTCGGGGATGGAAGAGGGTTGGGGGGGCTTTGTGATCTCGAAGCAGAGGCTCTCCAATGAGACAGGGTTGGGATGAGAAAGGGAAGATGCAGCTCTCGCCCCTTGGAAAGCCAAACAGCAGGGTTTGCAGGCTGGGGAGTTGAATCTTTCCCCCAAAAAAATCCGATTTCTTCAAGGTATAGCGAATATAATGTGATCCCTCTTTTTCTTTTAACTCCAGAGCAGTTTATGTGGCACGATTCTGACGTGCCCTCTGAGCTGAGGACCTGCCTGCAGACTGCAGCAGGATGTAAAAATAAACCAAGACAAGCAAAAAAACCAGGAACTGAGTCAGATTGAAATGAAAAATACAAGGGGAAAAGCTATAAAAATAAATATATACATATATATATATATACACACACATACACTCAAAGACATACCAGTGCTGAAAAACATAACTGCTGAGGCTACCAAAACTACTTCAACTCTGCCCCCTGTATTTCTGGATACCCTGCTGTCCTCCCCTCCTTCCCCAGCTCAGGAAAGCCAACCCATTCCCAGCTTTTTTGGGGGAACACAGTGGTACAAAAGTGCTGGGTGATGACTCAGCATCTGCTGCTTTCTTCCAGGGGATTATTGCACTGGGTCAGTTGTTGAAGGGACATCTCTGGTGGCATCCCTGGCTCTGGGAAGCTGCAATTCTTCTGGGGGGAGAGGGGGGCAGTTGCAGGTGCTTGGGAATGATTTTTTTGGGAATGATTCAGCAGGTTGTGGCAAGAAAACACGTGAGCAACACACGTGCAACTGGATGTGCTGTGTGTGCTGACTTAAGGGAATGAGAACCTGTGGGGAAAGAGGGATTTTTGGAGGGGGGGAAAACCACAAAGGGCAATTTCTCTGGCACACAAGGAAAGATCTTTGGCTGCTCTTCGTTAACGGATAATTCCAAACAACCGTCCCTCCGACAGGAGCCCTGACAAGACAGATGGCTCTGAACTGCCTGATGCCACGGTTCACCTTTTGGTTTCATAAAAAAAAAAATCAATTTTTTGCCGTGGCAGGCACAGGCCAGAGCAGGAGGAGGCAGGGCCAGGGAGCCAATGGATGTGTTGGGCACACCCGGACTGCGCCGCCCACGGCTGGGATTGATTCCCCCCGGCTCCTGCAGCCTGATCAATTCTGCATTCAGTGCAGAGCCAGAGCGAATTTATTACTCCTTGGGAACTTTCTGGCAGCCAGGGAGGGTGGATCCATTAGGGCAGAGCCCAGGGTTCCAAGCAGGCGGCTCCTGCGGGGTGTTTTGACTCTGCCCTTTCCCAGGTAAAGGGGCACCTGGTTTAAGAGCAGCGGGTTCAGCACCGGGGGTCACA